TTCCAAGTTCATACCTGCTACATGGGAATGGACCCGTAGTGGCTTAGTGGCGATGTTCTTTGCGGAAAGTTAGAGAACAGGCTGTTCTTCTATCTGCGACTTCCGCCTAAGCAGTCAACCAACTGCAACTAACAAGCAACCAACAGATATTCGTCAGTGGTGCCAGCCTGGGTTTCCTTTAGCGAAGGCACTCTCAGTGTTTCTTCTGTCTGTTCTCTTTTCTGGTGCATCTACTTTCTTAAGTGGCAATGTCCTATCAGGTGTGGGTTCAAACCCAGCTGCTTGGGTGAGGACTCACAGTGGCAGAGTTGTCAAACCCCTGGCGGGGACCTAGAAAAGAGGCTGTGTTTCATTCCTGGCCGTCGACCGCATGACCTCCGAATTACCTCCCGCCCTCGTGGGAATCGGATGGGTATGATTTCCGAGAACGTATAGCCAGCGAGGAGATATGACTACACTGCCGGCGTCCCTCTAATGTGTGAGGAATGTTGGGCGGGGACGGTGTTGTCGTGGCGGCAGTCAGAGCTGCCGTTACAGTAGTCATGGTCTCCACTAGAGGGTGGTATTTTATTTTTATTTTTATTTTCCGAGGGTTCGCAACAGCAGAGGTTATATCAACCCTCGGGGTGCCGGTGTTTTTGAAAAAAATTCCATTTGTAAGTATGTCGGGTTCGAATGCAGGGCCGCTGGATTCGAACCCAGGACCTTGACTTTACAGTGATGAGCGCCGTGTCACCGCCTAAACCGTTGCGGCCACCGACGTCCCTTTTTTGGTGGTTTAGATTCCACTAAAAACCGCGGCCGGAGCGTATCCGGAGATTTGGACGCTAGTGGAGCCCCTACACCCAGGGAGATAGAGTTGTCTCCTCTATATAAGGAGTGCGTGGGAGAATAGGACGATGCATTTCGACCACCTTTTGGGTTTCCTTTTACGCGCGGCACAGGTTAACTACACAACGTGAACCCAAGCAGTCGGAAGGAGCTAGCGGAAGAAGTCGAAAGGTCGGCAGTTTGCTGCAGGATGATTTGGGCTTCTTCACCTGACCTCACGGATGAAGCAGATTTTCCGTTCGCGGAGGTCAGTCGCTCCTAACTTGAGAATCTAAAACGTGTGATAAGGCCTAATCGGCCAGGTGCGCACGCTAATGAACCTCAATGTTACATGATATTGCGACACCAGTGGGAACGTATGCCCTGTCAGGTGTCCAGCCAGAACCTGGATAGGTTGCGGTAGCCTTCCAGTAATTCTTTTGTCAGTTTTATGAATGATCCTTCTATGAATCCCTTCGCGTATCTCATGTGGTATTGTTCGACGAAGTTTTGGGCTCATTAAAGATCCATTTTAAGATCCTCTTTTGTGGCGTATGGTAAGGCACTGTAGGGTTCAGGACCCAGAGAGTCCCTGTTGACTCCTTCTTTGGCCAACATGACAACATTTTATTTGCCTCTATATCCCTAGTGCCCAGATGCCAAAGCCATGGTCAGGACATTAGTGTCACTGACTTACGTCCAGGCCTCCATGCAGATCCAAATAAATATTCTTCGCTTTCAGCTCGCATGAGGCTAAGGCGTATTACCTGACAGTTATCAGATTGTAAATAAAGGGATTTTCCTTATATTATGGTTTGCAGATAGACCTTTTTGTGTTTTTCTGTTTATAGATTCGGGAAAAAGGCTTGGTGATAGAGATGGCTGAGTCTATTAGGCGCCGCCCATGTGTACGTATTTTCTCTAACGAAGCGATTCTGGTAGGTACTGTGGCTACGCTGGCCTTTTGTGATTGTCACGTCCGCTGGTACAGTAAGCGCAGTAAGACCTTCATATCCGTTACATTGGCGCGTTTTCTCGAGAGGAAATCCATTCGCAGCTTGAAGGTCGACAACCCATTCCCTAAACACGGCAGTCATCTTCCTGATGAAGGCGTTTTCATCCTCGACCTATTCTGATTTCCTGGCTTACTTTTTGAAAAGCAGTCATTGAACGACATGAGACATCTGGTGAACACGTGCCTGTACTTGCAGTAGTTCCTGGCGCACTCACCCTTCAAAAAGTCGTTGCATATCCGAGCTGAATGGGAACCCATCTCTATCACATTTAGATGAGGTTGTTGACCAACTGTTGAACGTTGGGGCAGATTGCGCGTAGTGCTTCTCGGCCTCCCAGTAACAGTGTAAGCGCAAATATCCCAGAAAGATTTCCCATTCCCATAGTGGCAGAAAGCGTGTTGTACCTTGAAATGAAAGTTCTTCCAAACGTCGCCGCGCCCAGGCGGTTTGAGAAAGTCACGGCAGACGATCGGGATCTTTGTGCCCATTTTGGAGTCAAATATGCGATTTTTAATATTTATAATTGTTGGACGAATCAAGCAATCAATGTCAGGATCAAGCACCTCCACACAATCTTGTTTACATTGTTTACAGTGAGGTTGAACCGTCTATTGTACCATTGTCACAAGAACATTATATTGTTACAATTTGTTATATTAGAGACAAACTTAAATACGTGTCAAATCAAATCCAGAATACTGACATTTATACTGGTCAATCCTTTGATTTTTAAATAACATAAACGACAAACGTGAAAAATATGAATAAATATTACTAAATATTAGGGCTCGGGATTTAATGGTGCAACTGACGCGAAAACGAAATTTAATACGTCATTTGGGATATAATTGAGCGAGATACACTTCGTCTGTTATTACAGTGAAATTCTCTCGTGTCAAGCACCAGCGATTTGTAGCGGCATCGCTTAATCTACGATGGATCAAAGGGTACGATTTCGCTTTTGAAGCTTTCTAGCTTTTGTATATAAAGCTAAGCTATCCGCATCAATGTTCATGAAACGTTAAACATTATACCTTCGTTACAAACTTCAAGTTTTCTAACGAATGGTTATCAAATATACACTACTCACATTTAATAGGATTTATCAATTATATTAAATCATGAATCCAGTTGTGTTTCAGTTTTCTTAATTAAATTGTACAGTAATAACAGTTCAAACAATCTGATCTAAACTACATTTAGCATAAAAAATTAATCAATTATGTGTGGTGTTTAGTGACCTTTAATTAATGATCATTTGGAGAACATGAGATACGGACAGGTGTGACAAGGGTTTAGAAAAACATTTTCTTTATCGTGCCAACGTTTAGAACTTTATCATCATCAGGGCTCAAAGTGTTTCTTTTGTGGCAGTTTCTTTTTCGAAACCTACCTCGCACCTGACCGCATCTCAAGATCTCAGAATAATCATTAATCAATTAATACAATAACATAAGAAAATATATTTTTATTAAAAGGATCTGCAATAGTGGAGGGTAAAAATGGCAAAAAGGAGGGAAAATTCAAAAAGTGGGGTTGAGATGGGAAGTTAGTGTCCGAGTGGATCGAGGTGGATAGCTCAGGTGGTAGCGCAGCGGCGTATCTAGCCGAACATCATGGGTTCGAATCCCGCTCGTGACACTGACTTTTCTACCTTAACTAAAAACCTTAATGAATAATTTTTTTGCGTTGAAACTTCTTCGCAAATGGAGTAGAATGCCGTAAGAGTAGGTGCCCAATATCTGTTCAATATGGAGTTATGATTGTTCTTGGTTTGTTAAAAAAAATCGGACCTTATATTGTTAAATCGCGTTTTCCCAACATTCCCTATTTTATTTGCAGTTTTGATTCGTTTTTGGGAAAGAGCCATAAATTTCCGACAGGACTAAACAATTTTTATTTCATTGCGACACGGTTAAAGGTAATTTATAACAAAAGAAATGTAAAATTTATCAGAAATGTGGAATTTTCATAAGAATTCAAAAACTTGCCTCTCTTTTATAAATAATCTTAGAGACTGCCGAATCACACAAAAATGTCTTCATTTAAAAACCTTTCTCACAATGTATGTACTACTGTGATTAATACTCCTTTGGGAGGAGAAACCATGCTTCAAAGTTAAAAAACCTCTTGGCAAGGGGGTGAAAGTAGTTTGTCATGTTCACACTCCTTTCCTTTCTTTTTATGCTCATTTTCGAAAAAAAATACACATTAAACAAAACAATACTGTAATCAGGATAATATTTTATAAAAATTGGCTGTCTGAACGGTTCCCTTTGTGGAATGGGGTGAGGTGGTACCATTGCATTGCCACCGAGGACCCTGATCTCAACCCTACGGACTTCTTCGTTTGGTGCTTTTCTCAAACTACGACTTTACCCAGTACAGGTCTACAGGAAAGAAGACTTAAAGAGAAGAATAATTTCTGCAGCACAAAAACTTGGGAAAGAAGATAAATTTCTCAGTTACTCTGGGAGCAATTCGGTTGTACATCAGGAATAGGGGGAAGGCAGTCTATCGGTAAATTTTATCCTGAATACACATACTTTACACACACACACACACATACATACATACACACACACACACACACACACACACACACACACACACACACACACACACACACACACACACACACACACAAAGACTATGCTCAAGTGCAAAAGGCAAAAGTTAAGAATTATTTTCTGCGCTTATGTTTACAGTAATCATGTCGGTCTATGTTGGTTAAATAGATTTTTATAGTAAAATTACAAATTTGTTCTATAAATGAAGTAAAAAAAATCTTCTTTTTTAGGAAATTTTATCTTGACTCTCCAAAGCTAAAATCGCTCTCCCCAGAGTTTACAAGGAAAACACATAAGGGATGAAAGGGATAGAAACAAGAATATAATATATTAAGCAGTAGAAATGTCAGTCGGCCTGTGAGCAGAGCAGGGAGAAGCTCCAAACTGATATTTGTGCGACTCAAAAGTGTATTGTGATGTAAGTCAATTTCGGAGCGAAAACCTTTTCGCACCCTCGTCTAACCCCCGACGTCTCCTGGGGCGCGTAGTTTTCACTCAGCACTCCCAGTATATTTTCCTTTATAAAATTATATTATAAACAAAACTGCTTCTAAAAATCTTTTTTTCTTTGTTTAAAAGGACACGTTAATTTTTTTTTACTCACTTCTTCTAGGGTCCCCTTTGGTAGAGTAGTTGACATCATAATGGATGTCAGTAATATGCCAAAAATAACCTGAAAAAGAAAATAAATTATGTAATTAATCATGAAGTGGCTAATAATTACAAATAGAAAATAGAAAGAGAAAATAAAAAAAACTATAATTATTCTGTTAAAACAACAATAATATCATTCATGTTTTTTCGTAGGTTTTTATTGGACAAATTATATAACAATGATTGATTGTACGAAAAATTATGTACATTTTTATCGATTTCTATCTTTAATATAAAATCTTCCGACTGCTTACAGCACAGGATACTATAGATCCATCAGCTTTCTTTCAGAGACGACCAAGATCATCGAAACTCTCTTTTTAACCGTTTAATATTGACATAAAATTACATCAAACCTATTATAGTTCCTTCTCCAACATTACATGATCCAGCAAGGTTTCAGAGTGGTTCACACCATATTCACGGTTCTGTAGAAAAAATAATATTGCTTGGGTGCTTTTCTGGATGTATCGCAAACTTGTTATATTCCTTCAACTAATTAGGACTTACTTAGTACTAATGTGCGATTTAATCAAACTATCCAATACCCAGGGCAACCTTTTGATCAATAGTGTTTAGAAAAATTATCGAAAGTCTTTAGTACTTCACTAACCTCATTATCAATAATTATTTGGAGATGGTGACATTTGGTCTGGTGTGACGTAGGTTTAGAAAAAAAATTTCTTTATCGTGCCAACCTTTCGATCTTTTCTGAGATCATGTTCAGGGCCTTGTATTGCCTACATTTCAACAAAAAGGTTTTCTGATTGATATCCGAAGTTTCTTTTCATTGCTGGCGTTCAGAATAATTTTTTTAAATTTTTTTATCTCCTCTCCCTTTAATTCATAATTAATGTATATTTCAAAAGTGTTTAGAAAAAATATCGAAAGTCCTTATTACATCACTAACCCCATTATCCAGAATTATTTGGAGATGGTGACATATGGTGTGACGTAGGTTTAGAAAAACATTTTCTTTATCGTGCCAACGTTTCCACCTTTATTGAGATCATCTTCAGGGCCTTGCATTGCCTACATTTCAACAAAAAGGTTCTCTGATTGATAGCCGAAGTTTCTTTTCATTGCTGGCGATTCGGTCAGAATACTTTTATTTTATTTGTTTTACCTCCTCACCCTTTAATTCATAATTAATCTATATTGTCTTAGTGATCATTATTGATAAAATAATTATTCCAATTAATTATTCTTGTTATCTAAGATCTTGATTGAGATGAAAACGTCAGTGCCATTAGCGGGATTCGAACCCGCGACGTTCGACTCAATACGCCGCTGCTCTAAACACATGAGCTATTGTGACATCAAGTGGTTCGAGCAGCGGCGTATTGAGCCGAAGTTCGTGGGTACGAATCCCGTTCGTGACACTAGTTTTTCATCTCAACCAAAAATGTCAGATAAAAAGAAAAATTATTTGGATTAATTAATAGTATTGAAGGGTTTCTCTTAATATGCATCCTTTCGATGCCATGTTGGTCATAACCTCATAACCTCTTTTTTTTTTTTTTTCGAACCCACGACCGCGGCGTGAGAGTCTCTCATGCTAACCACTCGGCTACCGTGGTGCCCAACCTCTCTGTTGGGGCTGAACTATTACTAATATTTTGAGGCAAAATTATTTTTCTTAAATATTTGTCAAGGGGTTAAATTTTTGTATCAAATTCAAATCATATCTCAAAGTAAATGTTCCACCTATATGACAATTTTCGTTAAACATAATTTAAAGCAAATTGAAAATATTGGGAGTAAATCTGGGTAACTTTTTTGGCATTAAGTCAATTATTAAAATTTTATTGTCATATTTAACTAAGCGGACATCAAGGGCGGCAAAAATCGTTAGGGTCTACATTTTACAAAATTTAAATTAAATCATTAATTCACTATTTTCGTGGTCGGTTTGACCAATTAATACAAGACAATTAATTAAGGTTTTCAGTTGAGATGACAAAATGGCAAAAGGAGGGAAAACTCATAAGGTGGGGTTGAGATGGGTAGTTGATGTCCGAGTGGATCGAGGTCACGATAGCTCAGATAGCTCAAGTGGTAGAGCAGCGGCGTATATAGCCGACGGTCGTGAGTTCGAATCCCTCTCGTGCCATTAACTTTTTTTCATCTCAACTAAAAACCTTAATTAATTGTCATTTAAATTAAAGTTTCCTCCTTTTATTAAGAAAAAAATATATTACTGTCATACTTTATTTAATTGTATTACATTTATATAAATATTTATACGTATATTCTCTGACGTGTATTCGCATTATTTTAAAAGCATAATATTTTATAATAAATATAATGATTACTTTGGGATCGTTGAGATGCGGTCTGGTGTGACGTAGGTTTTAACGTTTCGGTATTTATTGAGATCATCATCAGAGCCTTGGATTTATAAACATTATTTCAATTTTACAAATATATGTAGGATGTAGAACAAAAGGCCCTGAAGATGATTTCAATAAAGATCGAAACGTTGGCACAATAAAGATCCAAATAATCATTAACTAACGATCACTAAACACCACACAAATAAATATAATATTTTTAAATAAAAATTAGATAACTATCATACTGTTCGTATAACTTATTTTTATGGTCTCAGACAGAGCTAATTGTCCTAATCCGAAGGGATTGATATTACGATATAACCTCAGGGTTGGACCTACTGAGCCGAATGACAAATACCAAGGGCAGAAGAGCCACCGACTAAAAACAAGGTCGGCAAAACCTCCGGTTAATAGTCTTCAGCAAAAGATACACCCTGGACGTAAAAACGAAGAGGAGGAGACCGTCTATTAATCATCAAGCGTGTTTTGCCTTGTGGCTTTGTCCCTTAATGCACTCCGGTAAACCCAGATGCGTGTATTAAACACACGGTTAATATATATGTTAAGAGTGACTTAGAAAGATTTCTTGTGAATACTTATTGCAAACTAGGAAGTCCCAAGAAAGTATATTCCGGGTCACTTACTTCTATCAGCTGTCTCTTCTGGATGTCAAAGGTCTTTAAAACGATAATAGTTCAAATTACACCAAAATATCTAAAATTTATATGATTTGTACGTAATTTCAGTTAAAATGAGTTGAACAACTATCAAGCAAAAACGCATGAGAAAATTCATGACACTACTCCTAAAGTTGCTTCAATAAAATGCTTCAGAAAGCAAGCAGTACTATCTACCATAACCTTATATTTTACACCTTTATAGTTAGTACAAAACTGTACTTAATTACTTTCCAAGCTCTCCAATCTAATGGATAATATTTAAATTGTAATTTGCACACAAAATTTTGTGATAACATATTTCACAGAATCAGTTAAATAACAATTTTAAGACATCTTTTTTTTATTGGTTAATCATCATAATTTATATATGTACATATATATTTTTTACTATAACTTTAGCACTTCTAGTATATTTTCCAGATTTGGAATTTGGAAGCTGTAGATTTATTTTTATGGGACGTTTTGTGCGCTTGTGAGCTGTAATGCTTATTTTGTAAAACATTTCCTTTAAGCATTACTTTTATTCTTGAATTATTAAGTTTTATTACAATTACGTAATTCGTAAAGCATTGTTATTTATAAAAGTTTATAAGGTTTATTTTATGTTATCTCACTGTTTCACTCACTCTCTCTATTTCTTACCCTCGCTTACTTTATCTCACTCATCCTCTCTCTTGCATTATTTTTCAATCTTTTTCTACCGTTTAGAGCCCTATTGCTGCGTATTGAACTTTCGCTCTTTCTTTCCAAAAATCATTAAATATAATATTTTTGTAATGAAATGCGTACCAGTTTTAACAATTAAATTTATACAAAATACATAATTATTTTTCATTTGTTAGGTGACCAAATGAACTCTTTCCGATTAATTAAGGCTTTCGTTGAGATAAAGAAAATTGAAAAATGGCAAAAAGGAGGTAAAATTGAAAAGGTGGGTTTGAGATGGGAAGTTAGTGTCCGAGCGGATCGAGGTCACGATAGCTCAAGTGGTCGAGTAGCGCCGTATCAAGCCGAAGGTCGTGGGTTCGAATCCCGCTAGAGACACTGACTTTTTTATCTGAACCAAAGCCTTAATTAATGTAAAAAGTGCATAATATTTATAAAGCAACATAATTGGTCTATTAAAAAAAAAGTTGATATAAAGTGGCTGTATAATTATGAATGATAGTTTTATAGTATACTTATATATATATATATATATATANTATATATATATGTATAGGCGAATAAGTATCGTTATACTTCCGGCAAATAAATGGAAGTAAATTTTATTTGGTCGATGAAAAAAACGTTTTTTGTTTATTGGTCTTTCTTTATTATAATCAGTAAGGATGTATTTATCGACCAGCAGTTGTTAATTTTAGAGGTCAGGGGTATGGTCCAACCTACATCTCGTGTAAAAGTGTAATATCCTGCAGATATCTGATAAAATAGAAGCTGCATTAATACATTTAAACATAGTATACAAATTTATTAAGCGAAATGAAACAATTTAGATAGTTGCCTCGCCCTGTTTATACCCTTAATGTCATTTGTCTATAGTGTTTGTTGGACAGTGCCCCATTTATTCGTAAACAGAGGACAAGGTGGAAAAGAAGAAAATGAGATTAAATAAATAAACTATTTCGTGAATTTTATCAAAATAAGGTTAATAAAAATCCATTAAATTTCGTGGTCTGATTGACCAAATAACATCTTTCAACTAAACTTTTTATGAAAGGTTGAAATGAAAAAGTTAGTGTCACGAGCAGGATTCGAACCTACGAACTGAAGTCGTTATAGCAGCGGCGTATTGAGCGGAAGGTCGTGGGTTCGAATCCCGCTCATGACACTGACTTTTGTATCTCAACTAAAAACCTTAATTAATTGAAATTTATTAATACATTTTGAACATAGTATAAAGATATAATAAGCGAAATGAAACAATTTAGATAATTGCCACGCCCTGCTAATATCCTTAATGTCATTTGTCTGTAGTGTTTGTTGGACAGTGCCACATTTAT